GGGGTTGGATACAGGGATGGGTTATAGGGGGGACGGTGGGGGGGGGTATAGAGAACTATAGGGCCAGGGGGATGGGATATAGGACTTTGCTATGGGGCTGAGGATTATGGGACTAAGGGGCAGGCAATGGGGCTCTATGGGGCAGGTTATGGGGGGCCTATTGGGCAGGTTAAGGGACTATGGGGCGGGTAATGGGGAGGGAATGGTGCAGGCTATGGGGGGGGCTATGGTGTAGGTTATGGAACTATTGGGCAGGCAAGGGGGGTGCTATGGGGCAGGTTATGGGACTATGGGGCAGGCAATAGGGGGCTAGGGGTCAGGCTATGGGGGGGCTATGGAGGGGGGTATGTGGAGGCTATAGGGCAGGCTATGGGGCAGACTGTGACTATGGGGCCAGCTATCAGGGGGCAGGTAATGGGGGGGCTATGGGGCTGGCTATGGGGCAGGCAAAGGGGTCTATGGGGGGGCCTATAGAGCAAGCGATGGGGCAGGCTATGGGGGGGCTATAGGGCAGGCTATGGGGGGGCTATAGCACAGGCTATGGGGGGGCTATGGGGCAGGGTATGGGGCAGGCTATGGGGGGGCTATGGGGCACGCTATGGGGCAGCCCCACTTTGCAGTTGTAGTAGCGTCCAGCCTGGAAGCCTTTGTCAATGCACCGAACCCGTAGGTCCCGCCGCAGCCATGGGGGGGCGCCGGGGGGGGCTCCTCGGATCTGCTTCACTGTCCTGGGGGGGGGACACACGTCAGACCCCCCCCGAGCTCTATAGGGCTCCATAGGGCTCTATAGGGCTCCATAGGGGTCTATAGGGCTCCATAGAGCTCTATAGTGCCCCATAGGGCTCTATAGGGCACCCCAGCCTCACCTCTCTGGCTCCGGGGGCTGCTGCTTCCTCTTGTCCCCCCCCTTCTGGGGGGGGTCGCTGTGGTCCGGCCCCTCCTCAGTCTCCTTCCCCTTGGAGGAGCCTGTGGGGGGCAATGGGGGGCAATGGAAGTCAGTGGCGGTCAATGGTGCTAAATGGGGGTCAATGGGTGCCAATGGCGGTCAATGGGTGCCAATGGCGGCCAATGGGTGCCAATGGCGGCCAATAGGGGTCAATGGCGGTCAATGGGTGCCAATGGCGGTCAATGGCGGCCAATAGGGGTCAATGGCTGTCAATGGGTGTCAATGGCGGTCAATGGGTGTCAATGGCGGTCAATGGGTGCCAATGGCGGTCAATGGGTGTCAATGGCGGTCAATGGGTGTCAATGGCGGTCAATGGCAGTCAATGGGTGTCAATGGCGGTCAATGGGTGTCAATGGCGGTCAATGGGTGCCAATGGCGGCCAATGGGTGCCAATGGCGGCCAATAGGGGTCAATGGCAGTCAATGGGTGCCAATGGCGGTCAATGGCGGCCAATACGGGTCAATGGCTGTCAATGTGTGCCAATGGCGGTCAATGGGTGTCAATGGCTGCCAATGGGTGTCAATGGCGGTCAATGGGTGTCAATGGCTGCCAATGGGTGTCAATGGCGGTCAATGGGTGTCAATGGCGGTCAATGTGTGCCAATGGCAGTCAATGGGTGTCAATGGCGGTCAATGGCAGTCAATAGGTGCCAACGACGGTCAATGGGTGTCAATGGCGGTCAATGGCAGTCAATGGCGGTCAATGGGGATCAATGGCGGTCAATGGGTGTCAATGGCGGTCAATGTGTGCCAATGGTGGTCAATGGGTGTCAACGGCGGTCAATGGGTGTCAACGGCGGTCAATGGGTGTCAATGGCGGTCAATGGGTGTCAATGGCGGTCAATGGGGATCAATGGCTTTCAATGGGTGTCAATGGGGCTCAGTGAAGATCAGCGGGTGTCAATGGGGCTCAATGGAGATCAATGGAAGCCAATAGATGTCAACGGGCGTCAGTGAGGCTCAATGGGGATCAACGGGTGTCAGTGGGTATCTATGGGGCGCAGTGGGTGTCAGTGGGTATCTATGGGGCGCAATGGGTGTCAGTGGGTATCTATGGGGCGCAACGGGTGTCAGTGGGTATCTATGGGGCGCAACGGGTGTCAGTGGGTATCTATGGGGCGCAGTGGGTGTCAGTGGGTATCTATGGGGCGCAACGGGTGTCAGTGGGTATCGATGGGGCGCAACGGGTGTCAGTGGGTATCTATGGGGCGCAACGGGTGTCAGTGGGTATCTATGGGGCGCAACGGGTGTCAGTGGGTATCTATGGGGCGCAGTGGGTGTCAGTGGGTATCTATGGGGCGCAGTGGGTGTCAGTGGGTATCTATGGGGCGCAGTGGGTGTCAGTGTGTATCTATGGGGCGCAGTGGGTATCTATGGGGCGCAGTGGGTGTCAGTGGGTATCTATGGGGCGCAGTGGGTGTCAGTGTCTATCTATGGGGCGCAGTGGGTGTCAGTGGGTATCTATGGGGCGCAATGGATGTCAGTGGGTATCTATGGGGCGCAGTGGGTGTCAGTGGGTATCTATGGGGCGCAATGGGTGTCAGTGGGTATCTATGGGGCGCAATGGGTGTCAGTGGGTATCTATGGGGTGCAACGGGTGTCAGTGGGTATCTATGGGGCGCAGTGGGTGTCAGTGGGTATCTATGGGGCGCAGCGGGTGTCAGTGGGTATCTATGGGGCGCAATGGGTGTCAGTGGGGCTCAATGGGGATCAACGGGTGTCAGTGGGTATCTATGGGGCGCAACGGGTGTCAGTGGGTATCTATGGGGCGCAATGGGTGTCAGTGGGTATCTATGGGGCGCAATGGGTGTCAGTGGGTATCTATGGGGCGCAGTGGGTGTCAGTGGGTATCTATGGGGCGCAGTGGGTATCTATGGGGCGCAGTGGGTAGCTATGGGGCGCAGTGGGTGTCAGTGGGTATCTATGGGGCGCAATGGGTGTCAGTGGGTATCTATGGGGCGCAGTGGGTGTCAGTGGGTATCTATGGGGCGCAGTGGGTATCTATGGGGCGCAATGGGTGTCAGTGTGTATCTATGGGGCGCAATGGGTGTCAGTGGGTATCTATGGGGCGCAATGGGTGTCAGTGGGTATCTATGGGGCGCAGTGGGTGTCAGTGGGTATCTATGGGGCGCAATGGGTGTCAGTGGGTATCTATGGGGCGCAATGGGTGTCAGTGGGTATCTATGGGGCGCAATGGGTGTCAGTGGGTATCTATGGGGCGCAGTGGGTGTCAGTGGGTATCTATGGGGTGCAGTGGGTGTCAGTGGGTATCTATGGGGTGCAGTGGGTGTCAGTGGGTATCTATGGGGCGCAGTGGGTGTCAGTGGGTATCTATGGGGTGCAGTGGGTGTCAGTGGGTATCTATGGGGCGCAGTGGGTATCTATGGGGCGCAGTGGGTGTCAGTGGGTATCTATGGGGCGCAGTGGGTGTCAGTGGGTATCTATGGGGCGCAGTGGGTATCTATGGGGCGCAGTGGGTGTCAGTGGGTATCTATGGGGCGCAGTGGGTATCTATGGGGCACAGTGGGTGTCAGTGGGTATCTATGGGGCGCAGTGGGTGTCAGTGGGTATCTATGGGGCGCAGTGGGTGTCAGTGGGTATCTATGGGGCGCAGTGGGTATCTATGGGGCGCAATGGGTGTCAGTGGGTATCTATGGGGCGCAATGGGTGTCAGTGGGTATCTATGGGGCGCAATGGGTGTCAGTGGGTATCTATGGGGCGCAGTGGGTGTCAGTGGGTATCTATGGGGCGCAATGGGTGTCAGTGGGTATCTATGGGGCGCAGTGGGTGTCAGTGGGTATCTATGGGGCGCAGTGGGTATCTATGGGGCGCAGTGGGTATCTATGGGGCGCAGTGGGTGTCAGTGGGTATCTATGGGGCGCAATGGGTGTCAGTGGGTATCTATGGGGCGCAATGGGTGTCAGTGGGTATCTATGGGGCGCAGTGGGTGTCAGTGGGTATCTATGGGGCGCAACGGGTGTCAGTGGGTATCTATGGGGCGCAGTGGGTATCTATGGGGCGCAGTGGGTGTCAGTGGGTATCTATGGGGCGCAGTGGGTGTCAGTGGGCATCTATGGGGCGCAGTGGGTGTCAGTGGGTATCTATGGGGCGCAGTGGGTGTCAGTGGGTATCTATGGGGCGCAACGGGTGTCAGTGGGTATCTATGGGGCGCAATGGGTGTCAGTGGGGCTCAATGGGGATCAACGGGTGTCAGTGGGTATCTATGGGGCGCAATGGGTGTCAGTGGGTATCTATGGGGCGCAATGGGTGTCAGTGGGTATCTATGGGGCGCAGCGGGTGTCAGTGGTTATCTATGGGGCGCAATGGGTGTCAGTGGGTATCTATGGGGCGCAGTGGGTGTCAGTGGGTATCTATGGGGCGCAGTGGGTGTCAGTGGGTATCTATGGGGCGCAGTGGGTGTCAGTGGGTATCTATGGGGTGCAGTGGGTGTCAGTGGGTATCTATGGGACGCAGTGGGTGTCAGTGGGTATCTATGGGGCGCAGTGGGTGTCAGTGGGTATCTATGGGGCGCAGTGGGTATCTATGGGGCGCAGTGGGTATCTATGGGGCGCAGTGGGTGTCAGTGGGTATCTATGGGGCGCAGTGGGTGTCAGTGGGTATCTATGGGGCGCAGTGGGTGTCAGTGGGTATCTATGGGGCGCAGTGGGTGTCAGTGGGTATCTATGGGGCGCAGTGGGTGTCAGTGGGTATCTATGGGGCGCAATGGGTGTCAGTGGGTATCTATGGGGCGCAGTGGGTGTCAGTGGGTATCTATGGGGCGCAATGGGTGTCAGTGGGTATCTATGGGGCGCAGTGGGTATCTATGGGGCGCAGTGGGTGTCAGTGGGTATCTATGGGGTGCAGCGGGTGTCAGTGGGTATCTATGGGGCGCAGTGGGTATCTATGGGGCGCAGTGGGTGTCAGTGGGTATCTATGGGGCGCAGTGGGTGTCAGTGGGTATCTATGGGGCGCAGTGGGTATCTATGGGGCGCAGTGGGTATCTATGGGGCGCAGTGGGTATCTATGGGGCGCAGTGGGTGTCAGTGGGTATCTATGGGGCGCAGTGGGTGTCAGTGGGTATCTATGGGGTGCAATGGGTGTCAGTGGGTATCTATGGGGCGCAGCGGGTGTCAGTGGGTATCTATGGGGCGCAGCGGGTGTCAGTGGGTATCTATGGGGCGCAGCGGGTGTCAGTGGGTATCTATGGGGCGCAGCGGGTGTCAGTGGGTATATATGGGGCGCAATGGGTGTCAGTGGGTATCTATGGGGCGCAGTGGGTGTCAGTGGGTATCTATGGGGCGCAGTGGGTATCTATGGGGCGCAGCGGGTATCTATGGGGCTGCCAGCACTCACCGCCGCGCGGGGGGGCCCCCAGCCTCAGGCTGTATTGGCTCACGGTCACCGCCTGCCCCCCAAGCTCCAGCCTCACCACGGCGCGGGCGGTCTCTGGCTCCAGCCCCTCCACCTGCATGGGGGGGGGGGGGGGAAGGGGGGGCACAAACCCAACCCTGAACCAACCCCCCCCCACATCACCCCCCTATCGGCTACCCCATAGATGGGGGGAGGGGGGGTTCTCACCTTCCCGACCATGTCCCGGTGGGGCCCGGCCTCAATGCAGACGACGGCGCCGACCTTCAGCCCCCCCCCATTGGGGTCCTCCCCAACCCCCCCTCCCCCCCCACGAGGGGGGCGGGGCGAGCCGGGGGGGGCGGGGTCTGCCCCCAACCCCAAGCCCCGGGGGCGCAGGCGCTGCTCCAGGGGCTTCACCACCCTGGGGGAGGGGGGATGTGAGCAATGGGGGGGAGGGGGGGCTCAAACCCCCTCCACATTGAGGTCTATGGGGGCTGGGATGGGTTTAGGGGTCCCTGAACCCCCCCACATTGGGGTCTATGGGGGGAGGATGGGTTTAGGGGTCCCTGGACCCCCCCACATTGGGGTCTATGGGGGGAGGATGGGTTTAGGGGTCCCTGAACCCTCCCACATTGGGGTCTATGGGGGGAGGATGGGTTTAGGGGTCTCTGGACCCCCCCACATTGAGGTCTATGGGGGGAGGATGGGTTTAGGGGTCTCTGGACCCCCCCACATTGAGGTCTATGGGGGGGGATGGGTTTAGGGGTCCCTGGACCCTCCCAAATTGAGGTCTATGGGGGCTGGGATGGATTTAGGGGTCCCTGGACCCCCCCACATTGGGGTCTATGGGGGGAGGATGGGTTTAGGGGTCCCTGGACCCTCCCAAATTGGGGTCTATGGGGGGAGGATGGATTTAGGGGTCTCTGGACCCCCCCACATTGAGGTCTATGGGGGAGGGAATGGGTTTAGGGGTCCCTGGACCCTCCCAAATTGAGGTCTATGGGGGCTGGGATGGATTTAGGGGTCCCTGAACCCCCCCACATTGGGATCTATGGGGGGTGGGATGGGTTTAGGGGTCCCTGAACCCCCCCACATTGGGGTCTATGGGGGGAGGATGGGTTTAGGGGTCCCTGAACCCCCCCACATTGGGGTCTATGGGGGGAGGATGGATTTAGGGGTCCCTGGACCCCCCCACATTGAGGTCTATGGGGGGTGGGATGGGTTTAGGGGTCCCTGGACCCTCCCACATTGGGGTCTATGGGGGGAGGATGGGTTTAGGGGTTCCTGGACCCCCCCCACATTGAGGTCTATGGGGTGAGGATGGGTTTAGGGGTCTCTGGACCCCCCCACATTGGGGTCTATGGGGGGAGGATGGGTTTAGGGGTCTCTGGACCCTCCCAAATTGGGGTCTATGGGGGGTGGGATGGGTTTAGGGGTTCCTAGATCCCCCCACATTGGAGTCTTGGGGGGGATGGGTTTACATTGGAGTATCTGAGGGGGGGTGGGATGGATTTAGGGGTCCCTGGACCCCCCCCATTGGTGTCTATGGGGCAGGGGGCGCCCCCCTCTCACCTCTTAAAGGTGCGGCCGATGCCCTCGCCCTGGCTCCAGCCCATGCCCCGCAGCATGGCCAGGCCAAAGGCCTGCACCGGCACCGCCGCGTAGTCCTGGGGGCCCTGGGGGGCACAAAGGGGGGTGAAGGGGGTGCAGTGGGGCAGGGATGGGGGGGCAGAGGGGGGGGACCCCACGCACCGGCTCGGGCCGCAAAGCGATGTCCGGAGCCTGCAGGCAGATGGGGATGGAGAGGGGGGGGCCGGGGTCGCCATCGCCTTGGGTCTGGTTCTGCCGGGCCTCTGGGGGGGGGGGAGGGGAGAGGGGGTGATGGGGGGGGAGGGGAGCATCGGATATGGCCCCTCCCCCACCCCATCCCCCCGCCCCCCATCACTCACCCTGCAGCAGCTCCTGCACCGCCTGCGCCTCCACCGAGGGGGCGTGGTCAAAGGAAAGGGCGGGGCTTGCGTCGGAGGGGGCGGGGCTTGCGTCGGAGGGGGCGGGGCCTGAGCCCGCCCCGGGTGGGGGCTCCGGGTTCCGCCAGCGGTGCGAGGGCACGAGCGGGATCACGAGGTCCTGAGGAGGGGGCGGGGCCGGCCGGGAGCTGGGGGAGGGGGAAGGGAAGGGGGGGCGGGGCCGACGACTTCAGACACGCCCACCAACGCGGCTGGCCACGCCCCTCAGTCCATTTATGGTGAGAGCCAGCCCCTCCAAGAGCTTTTCATGGCCAAGCCACGCCCAACATTCCTTTTATGGTAAAACACCTACAGGAGCCTTTTTTGGCTAAAACACGCCCCAAAGCCACGCCCCCTCCGCAAGCCACGCCCCACGCACCTTTTATGGTGTGAAACCCTCAAACCACGCCCCCTACACGAGCATTTTATGGCAAGAACACGCCCCAAACCACGCCCCGTACGAGGTCACGCCCCACGCACCTTTTATGGTGAGACCCCAACAAACCACGCCCCCTCTGCAAGCCACGCCCCACGCCCCTTTTACAGCGAGACCCCCTCAAACCACGCCCCCTACACGAGCCTTTTATGGTAAGAACACGCCCCAAACCACGCCCCGTACAAGGTCACGCCCCACGCGCCTTTTATGGTGAGACCCCCCCAAACCACGCCCCCTCCGCAAGCCACGCCCCACGCCCCTTTTACGGCGAGACCCCCTCAAACCACGCCCCCTACACGAGCCTTTTATGGCAAGAACCCGCCCCAAACCACGCCCCGTACAAGGTCACGCCCCACGCACCTTTTACGGCGAGACCCCCTCAAACCACGCCCCCTCCGCAAGCCACGCCCCACGCCCCTTTTATGGCGAGACCCCCTTAAACCACGCCCCCTACACGAGCCTTTTATGGTAATAACACGCCCCAAACCACGCCCCGTACAAGGTCACGCCCCACGCACCTTTTATGGTGAGACACCCCCCCAAACCACGCCCCGTACAAGGTCACGCCCCACGCGCCTTTTATGGTGAGACACCCCCAAACCACGCCCCCTCCCCCAGCCACGCCCCACGCCCCTTTTACGGCGAGACCCCCTCAAACCACGCCCCCTACGCGAGCCTTTTATGGCAAGAACCCGCCCCAAACCACGCCCCGTACAAGGTCACGCCCCACGCACCTTTTATGGTGAGACCCCCTCCCAAACCACGCCCCCTCCGCAAGCCACGCCCCACGCCCCTTTTACGGCGAGACCCCCTCAAACCACGCCCCCTACACGAGCCTTTTATGGCAAGAACACGCCCCCAGCGCACCAGCCTCGCGCATGCGTACCGCGGCTCCCACCACCCCACCACGAGTCCCGCGCATGCGCAGCGCTCACCTCAGCAGCTCCCGGCCTTCCACGGCCGTGAGGAGCTCGGTGTCCCCGCTCCCGCTCCCGCTCCCGGTCCCGCTCCCGCTCCCGGTCCCGGTCCCGCCGGGCTCCGCGCACGGCCCCGCCGGCAGCAGCCGCCTCCGCTCCGCTTTACGGCTGAACGCGAACGACACCGGGCCCGGTGCTGCCGCCGCGCTGCCGGCCTCCGCTCCGCTGCTCGCCGCCATCTTTGCCCCGCCCGCGGTGCACTGTGGGACATGGAGGCTCCTGCCTCACTTCCGGACTACGGCTCCCGTCGGCCTTTGCGGCGCTGCGGCCGCTGATTGGTGGAGCCGGCCGCCCGTTGCCACGGCGACCCCGCGGCTGGTACCCGAGGGGCGGGGCCATGGGGGGGGGGAGCGGGGATGCGGGGGGGGGATGCTGGGGGCAATGGGAGCGATGGGGAGGGCAGTGGGGGCATTAATGGGGCACTGGGAGCACTGGGGGGGCAATGGGAGCAATGGGGGGGTACTGGGAGGGCACTGGGAGGGCACTGGGAGCAATGGGGGGGCACTGGGGGGCACTGGGAGGGCACTGGGAGCAATGGGGGGGCACTGGGGGGCACTGGGAGGGCACTGGGAGCAATGGGGGGTGCACTGGGAGCAATGGGGGGGCAGTGGGGGGCACTAGGGTGGAACTGGAAGCAGTGGAGGGGGCACTGGGGGCATTAATGGGGGACTTGGAGCACTGGGGAGGCAATGGGAGCAATGGGGGGGCACTGGGAGGGCACTGGGAGGGCACTGGGAGCAATGGGGGGGCACTGGGAGGGCACTGGGGGGGCAATGGGAGCAATGGGGCGGCACTGGGAGGGCACTGGGTGCAATGGGGGGGCACTGGGGGGCACTGGGAAGGCACTGAGAGCAATGGTGGGGCACTGGGGGGCACTGGGAAGGCACTGAGAGCAATGGGGGGGCACTGGGGGGCACTAGGGCAGAACTGGAAGCAGTGGAGGGGGCACTGGCACCATTAATGGGGGACTTGGAGCACTGGGGGGGCAATGGGAGCAATGGGGGGGCACTGGGAAGGCACTGAGAGCAATGGTGGGGCACTGGGGGGCACTAGGGCAGAACTGGAAGCAGTGGAGTGGGCACTGGCACCATTAATGGGGGACTTGGAGCACTGGGGGGGCAATGGGAGCAATGGGGGGGCACTGGGAGGGCACTGGGAGCAATGGGGGGGCACTGGGGGGCACTAGGGGGGAACTGGAAGCAGTGGAGGAGGCACTGGGGGCATTAATGGGGTACTTGGAGCACTGGGGAGGCAATGGGAGCAATGGGGGGGCACTGGGAGGGCACTGGGAGGGCACTGGGAGCAATGGGGGGGCACTGGGGGGCACTAGGGCGGAACTGGAAGCAGTGGAGGGGGCACTGGCGCCATTAATGGGGGACTTGGAGCACTGGGGGGGCAATGGGAGCAATGGGGGGGCACTGGGAGGGCACTGGGAGCAATGGGGGGGGCACTGGGAGGGCACTGGGAGCAATGGGGGGGCATTGGGGGGCACTAGGGGGGAACTGGAAGCAGTGGAGGGGGCACTGGGGGCATTAATGGGGGACTTGGAGCACTGGGGGGGCACTGGGGGCAATGGGGGGGCACTGGGGGGCACTAGGGGGGAACTGGAAGCAGTGGAGGAGGCACTGGGGGCAATAATGGGGGACTTGGAGCACTGGGGGGAGCACTGGGAGATACTAGAGGCACTGGGAGCAATGCGAGGGCATTAAAGAGGCACTGGGAGCACTGGGAGGGCACTGGGAGCAATGGAGGGGGCACTAAGGGGCAGTGGGAGGGCACTGGGAGCGATAGGTGGGCAGAGGGAGCAATGGGGACGGCACTGGGGGCATTAACGGGAACCAGGAGTGATGGGGAGGGGCAATGGGGGCATTAATGGGGGGACTGGGAGCACTGGGGGGCGCACTGGGGGCATTAACGGAGCACTGGGAGCACTGAGGGGGGCACTAGGAGCAATGGGAGGCGCACTGGGCGCATTAATGGGGCACTGGGAGCACTGGGGGGCATTGGGAGATACTGGGAGCAATGGGGGGACAATGGGAGAGATGGGGGGGCACACTGGGGGGGGGGCACCCTTTAATCTATGCTCAATAAAGGTGGGTACCCCCCCCCCCGCTTCCTTCCGCAGTGGTTTCCTCTGGGGGGCCCCCCCCCGCTTTCAGCATCCGCAGGGCAGGGCCGTGACCACATCCGGTTGAGTCACCCCAAAAAGGGGGGGGGGAGTTTGGGCCCCCCCCTCCGGGCTCCTTTGGGGCCCCCATCCCCATTTGGGATCCCACCCACCCCCCCCATCCATCAACAAGGGGTTCCCCCTCGAGAAGCCCCGCCCCCTTTAAGCCGCGCCCCCCATTCGCGCGGGGGCTTCCCCGTTGTACACGCGCCAACGCTAAGCCCCGCCCCTTGGGCCCTTGCCAGCCAATCACAAGGGGCTCCCCATCCATAAACCCCGCCTAGGCGGGAATTCCTCATCTCCCGCGCCACGGGGGGGGGGGCTTGGCCACGCCCCCTTTCCCCTCCGCCGTCCAATCGCGGAGGGGCCGCCAACGCTTGGCCACGCCTCTTCGTGCTGGGCCCGGCTCCCCTGGGTCCCTGTGCCCGTCCTCCCCCCCCCCCCCGTTCCCCAACCTGTGCCCGGCGCTGCCACCGCCCGCCATGGAGCCAAGCGGGGCCCGGGCCTGCCTCGGCTACTGCCGCACGCACAAGGGGCTGGTGATGCTCGGAGAGATCGTAAGGACCGGGGGGGGGGTCCCCAAAATGGGGGGGGGGGGTCCCCATAATTGGTTAAGGGGGACCCCAATTAATGGGGTGGGAAATGGGGGGGTTTAGGACCCTGCGGACGTTGGGCAGCGGGATGTGGGGTTTTATTTGGAGGGGGAAGGGGGCACCCCATTCCCCATTCTAGGGGGGCTTCACGTTCCCATTGTAGGGAATTGGGGGGGCATTGGGATAATGGGGTTTCGGGGGGGGGGGAAGCACAGGGACACGTGGATCTTT